GGGGGCAGGGGAGGTTAAACTGTCGGTACTTGAGACAACAGTAGCTGTTGACCGTTTGTTTTGTCCGGTGGCCCGAGGAGCTGGCCCGTCAGTGGACACACCCCCTCTGTGAGAGTGAGGCCGGGGACAGACTGGTTGGCTCAGTGGCTTTTTTTCCCCTTGTGTGCCAGTGCCAGTTTCTGTGTGTTCTGTACAGTTCAGTGTCCAGTATCCATCGGTGGAGTGGTCAATTATAATAATGATTAAATTAGGCCAAGGCTGTGTGTGCTCACTCTTGACTCTTTCGTCCTTGCGGATGAAATGAAAAGTTTGACCGGTCTATGTCGTGGGACAAACTGTTGATCCATGTTTTTTTGTTTGTCGTTGGTTTTTTTGTTTTGTTTTGTTTTTTCATTCCGCGGGAGTGTTTTGTTTTGATTAAGTAAGAGTTTTCGGCACTTGCAACACAGAAAGTTAACATATAGATCTTTATGCCGAAGATAAGAAATGTCACCAAAGAGGTTTGGGTGTCACTTTTGAGTAACATACAAAGAAAAGAAGGAGAAGGGATAGGGGCGACAGATGTTTGATAGGACAGAAAGAACGAACCACGCCAGAGCGAGGGTTCACGGGGGCTACGTGTGAGTGATTCTACTCACTCTTGTCCGTTTAGTCCGTGCGGAGAACATGAAAAGTTTGACCGGTCTATGGCGTGGGACAAACCAATCTCTGGGACAAACTGTTGACTCGATTTCCTGCCCCCCCCCCTGTCCCCTCCCGTGTGCCAGTGAGTGCAAGTGTGTGTGGGGGTAAGATTCTAATTAGCCGAATGTGCTCACTCTTGAGTCTTTCGTCCGTGCGGGAGAAATGAAAAGTGTGACCGGTCTGTGTTGTGAAGCGAAATCGTGGAGCACGAGGGGGGAAGTTGCAAGTGCTGGCTGGTGTTTCTTGGATGTGCGAGATGATGACGTGTGTGTGGTTTTTAGAGTAAATATCTGAAGATAGAAATGTATAAGAAAATGTTGATGAAGGACGGAAGATGATGTGAGATGTGAGCCGATGTATGTGGTCTATTATTGCCCAAAACGTTTTCAACAAAGGAAGAAAAGAGGCGAGAGGAAGCTGATGTGGTTTCTGGTAAGAGTGCCTATACATGTATATGTAATGTATGTTATACAGCCACAATGTGAACTGGCGTTATAAAAGTTACCCAAACACTTCGCTAACCTTGAGGTACGACGTTCTATCTGCTCAGCGCCTAGATTCTAGATCTAGATCTAGATCTAGATCTAAATCTAGATTAGATCGAATATCTAGTTATGAGAAATTTGAAGTTAAAAATCTTGTTTCACATCATGTCAAGCTTTTTCGAATGCAATAATTCTTTGAATATTGTGATTACGACTCGGAATTATCTTACAATTTTGATAGGACAGATATATATTAGAACTTTTGGTTTATGTCCCCATTGTCTTAGTAACTCCAAACGGCCAAAAATTTCATATAGAATGTCGTAATTCTAATGTAGCAACTCTTCTACGAAGGAACAGAAGAAAAATCAGTCCTTTCCAAATGTACAATAATAATGTTACATGTATGTTACTTGACTTCCGGCCTGTTAGATCTACCTTACGATGTCGAGGGGAGGAGCAAACATCTTTTTCTCGTTAGTTATCGCCTGTTGCCTGATTATATTATAGTTTTTGTCTAATGTTTGTTTGACCTGCTCTATCTATCTTTCTGGAGCCTGTAGGCTGTTTTATATTATAATAGAGTGAAAATCTAAACCAGATGATTGCACGAACTGATTTATTCCTAGAAAGAAAAAAAGGGAGCACTTGTGACGACTTGTCTTTCATAATGGGTCTATTGTTGTGTATGTTTTAGAGCAGAGGGCTGAGCCGGCGAATGCTGTGACATAGTGAGAAGTTGTTCCACAAAAGGGACCAAGTGAGATTTAGTATTTGTATGTGTGGATGCGTGATGATTAGTTTACAATGTTTCCGTTATAGAGAGAAAGTCTGCACTGACGTTTACCATGCACTGAACACTTCACCACGGAAGAGCAGAGCGGAGGCACGAGAGTGTGTTTGTGTGTGTGTGTGTGCTGCAGAGTGAGAAGCTGCTTTTGGTACAGTCGAATTTGTCTAAGCCTGTCTAGCGGTGCTCATTTATGACCTTATGCAGTTTGCGAGCGCCGTAAAACCTCTACAAAACTAAACAGAGGAGAAAGATTGTTTTAGACTAGATCTAGATTTAGAATCTAGATCTAGTAGTGTGAGTGTCATACTATAAAATAAACACGGAGGAGGAATTAAGACCAGGTCGTTTGTACAGGTGATTGTCTTTGACAAGTAGTCGTTTGTACTGGTGATTGTCTTTGACAGGTGGTCGTTTGTACAGGTGATTGTCTTTGACAGGTGATTGTCTTGGACAGGTGGTCGTTTGTACAGGTGATTGTCTTTGACAGGTGGTCGTTTGTACAGGTGATTGCCTTTGACAGGTGATTGTCTTGGACAGGTGGTCGTTTGTACAGGTGATTGTCTTGGACAGGTGGTCGCTAGAGCAGGTGGGACTGGATTATGAGATAGCGAAAACTTTTTTCCCCCCACATCAAATCGGGTGGATAGATTACTGTCTTCCCGGATCATGGATTAAGCCCGTGGATTAACAACAAGCGTGGATCTTTGTGAGTGGACTGACCAGTGTCCGGTGAACCTGGGAGTGAGAGAAAGAGAGAGCGGAGGGAGTGAGGCAGGGTCGGTCACCGCCCCGGGGGCACACAGACAGACAGGATGAGTCTGATGAAGGATAGACTGAAGGTGGAGCAGAGGAGTGAGTACATTTATTTTTCTTCTCTTGTGCACCGCACTGTTTTGCACTCTTGGTGTGCACCCACTTGGTTTTATGCATTCTTCTCTCTCTCACGCTTACTTACTCTCTCTTTCCCCTCTCTCTTCCTCTCTCTTCTTTCTCTCTTCTTTCTCTTTTTCTTCCTCTCTCTCGCTCTTCTTCCTATCTCTCGCTCTTCTCTCTCTCTCTCTCTCTCTCTCT